GGCCAAGTACCAAGATATCATGAGACCCTACGCGGACTATCTGGTTGACAATGGTGTTGACATTGCGGAGCAACTATCTTCCAATGATGCTGCAGGGCCTCTTGCTAACGAGACGAACCTAGCCATTAAGGCTGCAGTGGGAATTAAGGCATTCGGTCAATTGACTGGGCTTACTGAGTACTCCCGTATTGGCAAGGAACGAGCAGACCTCTTCTTCAACCAGCGGCTTGGAACCGATGGGCAGAAGACACACTTCGTGCTACAATACCCAGACAAACCCGCCTCCTGGAAAATCCCATATAATTTATACCCAGATGTACTGCTTGACCTTGGCACTTTTCCTCCAGAGGTTCATCACATGTCAAACACATTTTTCAAGTCAGTTCGAGGAGAGTACGGAGTTCCTCTTGATAGCCGACAGGACTGGGCCAAATCCGACTGGAATATCTGGCTAGCTGCCACTTTCGACTTGGACACCCGAGACGAATTTGTGGAAGACCTGTGGACGTTTATGACCAACGGAAAGCATAATTGGCCTTTCTCTGATCGTTATGTTGCCACATCAGCTCAAGGGGCAAATCCTGGGGTGCCCATCTTGTGTCGTGCTCGGCCGACAGTGGGTGGGCATTTTGCGCTGATGGCTTTGAACGGGCCCAGATCTCTTTGGAGCGCTGCGTCCGGCGCTATGGAATTACCCGACACCATGGGTGAAGAGGGCTTTGAGACGCAAAGAGAAGAGCTGTGAGTTGGTGGAGCCGCTTGTCAGTACAGTGTCGAGTGTGATTCTGCACCAGCAATGGATTTGCCATGAGAGTAACACTATGAGCACTATACTAGTACTTAACTACAACTCCTCCTTTGGGAACAGTGAATAAAAAGTATAGGGACGGTAGTCAATCCTTGAAAGTGAAAATATATATGTTGTATTGCTGCTGAGCCCTGGGGCTCATTGCCATAACTCAGACATGAGACACTTAATCCTTTAGAAACCCATTGTTTGAACAAATTGGCCACGGGCGACCCCTTGCACTGATGCGTTGCCGAAGTTAGTATGATTCTTCAGGCCTTCAGGCACCAAGGAAGCAACGACCCCCCTAGGGATTACATAAGCTATTGCGGCCTCAGGCTGTTGTGTCCCGTCAGGTCAGTGACACTCTTTCCCCAAGAGTTTCGCTGCATCCAAACTGCTTCGCCGCTGTGTTTAGCTTTCCTTCTCCCTGTTTATTTGTCGTCCTGTCTTTTGCTTCTTCTTTCTCTCCCTCCCTTTTTTGCTTCATCGCCGCCTATAAGCCTTCGTCTCTTATATTCCGCCCCTTGATAAGATCCTACTCATGGCTTCTGTATGTATTCCCTCTGTTTGACTTCTCCGCCATTTGCTCTCCCGTGCAGATAGCTGGCCAACGTCATGGCTCGCCCACCACGCGTTTGTACGCGCCAACGGAACAAGCATGCCTACTGACACCTCCGTGTTCCTCTTCTAGCCCCGTCCTCCGCACAACTTCGGTCCGCAAGGCTATCCTCTCCCCAACGGTGCTACTGGTCCCGTACCTGGCGCCACCCCTCTTCTGCCAAACAACGGCCGAGTCATTCAGAACGGCCCCGTCAGAGTCCTGTGCATTGCAGATGTTCGAGGTAGGCTTCTCTAGCATACACCCGTGGAGACATGGTGGTAGAGATGCGCTTGACTAACTGGTGTTTCTTTTTTCCGTTTGTGTTACGCAGGTAATCTGAAGTCTCTGAATGAGCTGGCCAAACAGGCCCGTGCAGATCATATCATCCACACCGGTGATTTTGGTTTCTATGATGACACATCGTTGGATCGGATCGCCGAAAAGTGAGTAATGCACTTGATATTTGAGCTTATCTACGGATCAGATTACGTTGGGGCTTCAGTGTCCGAAATTGAATTCGCTGACGGCTGGGTATCCAAATTTAGGACCCTTAAGCATGTGGCCCAATACTCTCCCCTGCTTCCTGAAAACGTGAAGCGGGCCATCGCACAAACTCCTCCCCAGCAATCCATTAAGCAACGATTTCCCCCCGATCAGCTACCCCTCTCAGAGCTTTCTATGCTGCTCGACAAGCGGCTCACACTTGATGTCCCTGTATACACCGTTTGGGGTGCCTGTGAAGATGTTAGGGTGCTGGAGAAGTTTCGTTCTGGAGAGTACAAGGTGAATAACCTTCATATTATCGACGAGGCCAACTCTCGCCTACTGGATATAGGTGGTGTCAAGCTTCGTCTGCTCGGATTGGGAGGTGCAGTGGTTATGCACAAGCTGTTTGATAACGGCGAGGGCAAGACCACTATTGCCGGTGGCCTAGGCACCATGTGGACTACTTTGCTGCAAATGGGTGAGCTAATTGACACAGCGAATCGTGTGTACGACCCATCGGAAACTCGTATCTTCGTCACTCATGCGTCACCCGCGCGTGAGGGAATGCTTAACCAGCTATCTGTGACCCTGAAGGCTGATTTCTCTGTTTCTGCCGGTTTACATTTCCGCTATGGCTCCTCCTACAATGAATTCTCCGTGAATCCCTCATTGGACCACTACCGAGGCAAGCTGGCCGCATCGAAGGCTTCCTTCAACGATGTTTGGGAGACGGTGCGCGGTGAGGTCGAGGCTGCAATTGCCTCTAACGAAGCCCAGAAGACGCTCTTGGATAATGCTCTCGATGTAGTGCAGAAGATGCCTACTATCGCTAACGGTGGGAACCCGTTCGGCGGACCTACTGGCCCCGGAAACGCAGCTGGTCAGGTCGATGAAAGTGCTTTCAAGAACATGTGGAACTTCAACCTTGCAGATGCAGCATTTGGTTTCCTGGTCCTTGAGATCGAAGCCGGCCGTATCGCGACGGAAATGCGCGCCCAGGGTTTCAACTTTGCACACCGCGGCGGTAAGCCTCCTGTGCCTGCCGTTGCTGGACAGCCCAATCCTCCTGTGCCTACCGGTACCCCTGGTGTGGCCTCCCCGGCAGCCCGCCCCGCTGTTCCTCAGTTTGGCCAGGCCCAGCCTGTTGCCGGACGTCCTGGCGCCCCTCAACAGCCGCAGCCTCAACCTCAGCAGGGACAGGCCAAGGCTCCCGCCGCAGCTCCCACTCGCACTTCCCCAGTTCCCGTTATTCCCAAGCCTGCAACCCCCCAGCCCTCCGGCACAGCTGCCTCGCAACATGCTCCTACATCGCCTGAAAAGGCTGTAGAGGCCAACGGCACTTCACAGCCTGAGAAGCCATCCGAGTCGCCTATGCCCAGGCCCGAAAAGAAGCAGAGCAACGGACTCTTTGTGTCGAACGTTGACAATGAGCAGGCGGTTCGTGACCTGTTCCCTGAGGAGGACAAGGCAAAGATAATCAAGCTTGACAAATGGGGCAAATATAACCACGTTGTGATGTTCACCACTGTCGAAGAGGCCAAGGCTGCTCTCGATCGTCAGCCCCCAGAGCACAAGAAGCCCACGCCCCCCGGTCAACCTCGTAAGCCTAACATCAAGTTCTTCGAAGACCGTGGTAGCCACCGCGGCAATGCTGGCACGTGGCAGAGCAGCAACCGGGGAGGCAACACTTCTCAGCGTGGATACCAGAGCGGTGGTGCCAGCGACAGTGAAGGAGGACGGGGACGCGGTGGATTCAGTGGACGTGGCCGCGGCCGTGGTGATCGTGGTCGCGGCGGACGCGGTGGTCGTGGCGGTTTCAACAAGGGAGGACCTACCTCGGATTCACCTGCTCCATCGACATCGACACCATCTGGTGAGAAGCCCACCGCGGCTGGCGATGCTTGAGCATAATTGAGTCGGTCTAACGTGTTTCCTTGTTTCTTCTGTCTTGAAAAACTTTTAACGCTTTTTTTTTTTTTTGCCGGCCATGTCTTCACATTGAACTTTTTTCCACCGTGTGTTCTGTTGAAGTCACATCGGTCCCTCATATCCTAATTTTTATTCTTGTGATATTTTCCTTTCCCATTTCCTTGTTTTCTTCTGAGCGAGATGTACGTGAAACACTACACTTCATTTCCTTTTCCTAGTAGACGCTCGTCACCCCCTAGGATTCTTTAGCCCGAGCTATCGGAAGGTTGTTGGTGCGGTTCAGTGCAGTGCAGGTTGAGATGAAGATGGTGCGATGATGAAAGGGAAAGAGACAAAAAGCGACGGATCCAAAGAAAAAAAAATCATAAAAAAAAAAGCGTCAACATCAACGGAAATTTTGTATTTTACATTTTTTTTTTCCCCCTATCTTCCTGGACGCACCAATATCGATACCCTTGTAGCTTTATTGTTCCCTGAGCTTCAAGTACAGGTCTGTTTAGTATTTTCTCATCTACTTGTAGCATTTGTCTTGGGATATTGGTTTGAACGGTTCAAGTTTACGTGGAAATTGTAGACATTGCCAAGTCAGAGTAGAGAATTCAAAAATTAATTCAATATCAACATGAACAACTCCCTTGATGGTATTAACAGAAGGGAAAAAGGAATCAGTCATGAATAGGCACAATCATCATAACCCGTGAACTAAGAAGTATATAAAATTAGAGACCCCAGACCTTGGATATGATCATATCCAGCACAACGCATATGCGCCTTATCCGAAATTTTTCTTTGTATAACCAGCCGTCCAGCCGGCAACTTACTGTACGCCAGTCAGGGGAAGCAAAAAATGCATGATCTGATCATCGGTGTACATTCTTTCCAAGCCGAGACCAGTGAAGAATTTATAGTCAAACTGTGCCTCCCCATTCGCCTTGTATGAAACCAAAGACCGAAGAGAAAAAGGAAATATAAAGTATGAAATGACAAATACCTCACAAATACATGTCGTCGGATAATGTTGATCCCAAAATGAAAGTAGATGGTACATATTCCAGATCGAATGTGACTCAATTTTGCGAGTATAGTTCCCAGATCCCTTGCTCGTGATGACGCCAGTTGCAGTGTTGTATCATAGATATGGGTATCAAAATCTGCAGCACGCGATTGCGTATTATAGTCAGATGGCGAGAATTATTATTTGACGCGACCCATGATATCCTCCACGTCCTTTTGGTTCACAACTACACCACCCTCCGAACAGCGGGCCTTCGTACGCAGTTCGGAGCAAAGGTTGTCAACGTCAATTTCGCCATTGCGGAACTTCTCCATAGATTGCAGGCGATCCCTATGGCAGATAGAAGTCAGTATGTCATTGATAATCCATGAACCCACATCAAGCCGGACATACCAAATCTTGGTGCAAGACAACATCTGTGATTTGTCCTCCCCAGGCACCACCTCCTCATCCATCTTATGGTCAATCTCAGCAATCAAATCCTTCTTCGGTAGCTGCTGGTTGGCCAGCTCATTGAAATTGTGAGATGGACTTCCCAGATCCGGCAAGGGGAAGGCATCGTCAAAGAAGGTACCGAAGTCCTGCGACAAAATTGCATCCTGAGGCTCTCGCCAGTCTCCGAACAGCACTGGATCGAACTGACCCCCATTCTGCTGCGCCAGGAGGTCAAGTCCGGGTCCGGGTGTTTGTTCGTAGTTGCTGTTGGGTTGGTTGGGGGTATCCGATACACTCTCGCTTTTGCCTCTTACAGCTGGAATAGGGTTATTGATATTGCCGCACGCCATGCCGAGTTGTGCGCAGAAGGAGGCCTCACCATCAATGGTGCTATAGGTACAAGCATGATGATTCTGAACACTGTCATTAAGCTTCGTGGCAGGCGAATTTGATATCGGCTCCGGCGATGTGCCATTCGAAGACAGTATCTGACTCTGGTGCGAGTCCGATGAAGCTGACGGAGAACATGAATTGGACGAATCATGTGATGATGCAGACTGCCTGATGTTGTACACCGATGGAACCTTAGGAGAGGGATTGTTGGAGACTCCGTTGGCGGCTTTGGCAGTTGACATTCTCTGGTTGTTTGATCCGTTGAGTGCTTCCCGAGTCATAACACCTGGAACTTGGGAGTCGCTTGTCGCCGGAGAAGAACCATCCCTAGACTTGTTTTGATTTGACTTGGTCAAAGGGCCATTAAAGATGTGTCCTCCGGGAAGGTCTCCGAATTTGGGGAAGTCGAACATAAAGTCGTTGTTATTGAGGCCATACAAATTCCTAGAATGAGCGCTTGGGATAGCGCTCATGGCAGAGATTCCACTGCCGGTAGTCAGCCATGAGAGACGCTTACGGTACTCCCTGAGCTCCACCTGCAAACGCTCGACCTGAGCGCGTAGTAGTCCGTTCTCCTGGTTTGCATCGTCAGAGGCCTTCTGCAACTCATCCACTTTGGTCTCCAAGTCCTTCAGATGCTTCTCCTTGCGCTCACGGAATGCCCGCTGCGCTGCACGATTTTGCGCCTTGCGCTTCTAGAGAGCACGTTAGTAACACAAACCCCGATCAATCTACTCCACAGATTTCAATGCATACCGAAGTAGGCTCTGAAGTCAACGGCTTTCTACCTGGTTTTTTCGCTGCTTTGTCATCGCTTTCTCTGCGCTTCTTTCCCGACTCCTCGTTTTCGTTGTCCGACATATCCTTCCGTTTTTCGCCTACCTCATGTTCATCAGAGGGGACACTTTCCGGCAGGTCACCAATTAGATTCTCGGAGCCTGGAAAATCGAAGTCAAGCTCCGGGTTGAAGTCTAAGAAAGGGCTCTCATCATCTCCATAACCCAGCCCACCAGAGCCAGGATGCGACTTATTGAATCCTGGTGACATGGTAAAGCTGCCAGACGACATGTTCCCAGGAGTACTGTCTGGGTCTGTCTTCGCTTGGGATCGTTGCTTATCGTTCTGTTGCTTTTGAGGGGGCTGATTGGAGGAAAGAGCGGCAAGAAGAAGGTCTTGTTGATCGGGGGAGAGATAAAGACCTTGATGATAGAGGGTATTAAAATCGGCCATCGTGATTATCGTATCTTCCGAAGCAGAATAGAGATGCGAGAATATACAGATGCCGGGGCCACTCGTATGCTGAGATAGGCCTGCAATCAAATCTGAATCAAACACTCGATTAGGCTGTTTGGACCGTTCTGATAGCAAGGCCGGGCTTCCCGCCCGTTCGTTCTATCGTATGAAATCACTAGTGATGAGAAGATATCTGTGTGATGAATGATTCAAGAGGAATAATCAAAGCGACAGTGATTGAAGAGACGTAGCGTCGAGGATTGGCGCTACAGCGATGGCGGAAAACGGTGCAAGTCTGCAAGGGTTCGAGGACGTATCAACTGAGAGATACTTCCAACTACAATTTGAAATCGACAGCAACTGGCTAAGCTCCAGCAAAGGCAGGTGCAAGTGACTGATGAAAAAAAAAATTAAAAAAAATTGGCGTTCTCGGAAGAGGTGTACAGACACCAGGAAAAGCAGCAGGATGGTCCGACAGTAGATAAACCGCGATGCACGATAACTAGGAGCTTCAAGACACGTAGAGGTGATCAAACAGAGGGTGAGGTGAAGAAGATGCAGGTTGATCCCGAGGTAGGCTCAGGGCGAGGTGTGTGAAAGGAGGGGCTCGGAGGGAGGCGAATGAGGCTAGAAACGGAGTAGTAGGCGGAGCAAAAGTATTGAGAATGAATCGAAATACGTCAGATCAATTGGTGCCTACTTCAGGGTGACAGGGAACCAATGGACGGGGGGAAGCGAATGCTAGAGAAAAGACCAGGGGGAAGGATGAAGAAAGAAGAGGACGAGTTGGCGTAAGAGGGGAAGAGATGAGCCGATGCATTGCAGTCATTCGATGCGGTACAGCGATGACTAGCCTGAGGTACCAATCTTTGGAGCGGCCGCCCCTTTAGCGCGTGGCTATTGGTTGCCTAACCCCAGGGTTGCTCATAGAAGCCAATCAGGGCGACGGATCGTGGACGCTAGTTCGGAACCAGAAAATCCTCGTTGCTGCTTAGAAATCAGGCCAGACCCTCTTTTTTCTTTGCGCCTTTTCTGCCACTTTCCATTCCCTCGTGTTTAAAGCCGTTTGGTTCCCGCCACTCAGCAGATCCCATCCCGAAGTTCTTCTCCACATCGCGGCTTGACTATTGTATCGGAGGTCTCGGTCGACTGATAAGATGGGCACATTTTTGTTTCGTGGAGATATTTTCCTCTTGTCTTTCTTTCCCCTTCTTGCTATATGATTACTTTTCCAGTTTTCTTCCTGTTTTACAATATCACTTGTCTTGTTCGTTTTTCTACATGTAAACAGTCCAGCTATATATGCGATCTTCATCTCCAGGGAATGCCCATCGTGGAACATCCGCCCTTATCGTCAAATCTTCGCAGATAAGTCCCAATTGATCTACCGATTGGACAAATTCCCTCCGAGTTCGGGTCTTCCGTGACTCATAAACAGTTTGTTTTATGTAGATCGACGAAATGAGGAAATCTCAAAGAACGCACCCCCCCTGGAAGCCCAATATCTGCTACCATTCTTGTGATAGGTGAAACGCGGTAAGGAACCTGGATCTCTCAAGGTGCGCCACAAGTAGCCCGTGAGCATCAGGTGGCAACAGGATTTGACTCTGTTCCACAAGTTGAATCTCCGTTAATCCGGGTTGACGTGATATTCAGTTTCAAGCCATCACTGTAGGATCGTCATCAGTTCCCCAAGTGCCTTCTAACTATAATAAGTGTAGTTTATAGATTCTAAAAGAAATTAAGCTAATGGGGGGAGATCCACTCCCATATCAACTGATGGTGAGGACGACTGGAGTGCATCCCACCTGCAGAAGGGACCCTCACGTGACGCACTAACCCCAAGGGGAACGTGCACTATCTTATCCCAACTTCTCTCTGGGTCTTATCTTTGCCCTCTGCAAATAGTTTGAAGATCCAGTATTGGTCTCCTTCAATAGCACATTCTCTCTTTTTCCTTTTGTCTGTCCTAACAATTCACTGTTTTGTTTGACCCTGTTTGTTTCTTTTCCAACCCGTTTTAATATTTCACAATGTCGGACGTGGCAGCTCTGGAGGCCGAGGTCAAGGAATTCAAGTTACAGGTATATCTGTCAAATGGTTGTGGAACTTCGATCTCTAACTCAGTTGGTGCAGCTTGAAACCGTCCAATCGAGTTTGCAGATAGATCCAGATAATACGGAACTTCAGAGTCTCAAAACTGAGCTGGAAGAACTTATCAACCTCACCGAAACCTCCATCGCCGAGCTCAAACCTCCCGCTCCGTCCACGTCGAAATCGGTAAAAGAGCAAGGACCCCGGGATAGCTACCCCACGTCTCAGACGGGCTATCGAAAGCCAACAGTTGAGCAGACGGAAGAGTCCGCCCCACCGGCATCGTTCTCGATCAATGAACATGTTCTTGCCCGCTGGACTTCGGGCGACAACTCCTTCTACCCCGCGCGCATTACATCCATCACCGGTTCCTCCAGCAATCCTGTCTACCTGGTCTCCTTCAAGTCCTACGGCACTGTTGAATCATTAACTGCAAAAGACCTCAGGCCTATCTCTGGCAATGATTCTCGTAAACGCAAGGCTGATGGAAGCTCAGGCAATTCCGCATCCCAATCCCCAGCACCTCAGCTGCCAAACTCGAGCGTGATCTCTGCAGCTGCAGATATCAACCCCGCATTGGCGAATCAGGCGCGGAAAGAGCCAAGCAAGGTAGGCGATGGCCCAGCGCGTCCCGCAAAGGCGCCTCGGAAGGTCAAAGCCAACCGGGAGCTTGAGGAGGGTAAGATGAAGTGGAAGGATTTTGCCAGCAAGGGAAAGTTGGGTCGGAAAGAGAGCATGTTCCGAACCGGAGAAAGTGTTAGCGCCCGAGGTATGCTTGTCACGACCTGGTGCCCGATAGACCATGGCTAATCTTTACATCGGCAGTGGGTTTTACTGGGTCTGGTCAAAAGATGCGCAAAGACCCCACCAGAACGCGACACGTGTATCAACAAGCCGAGGACGAAGGCTACTGATGACGTGGTTCTGGATTTTTGCAGGGGATTTCCATGATATGATGGGCTTGGTTTTTTTCTCCTTATTGTTCATATGCTGTTTTTGCGCAAGCTATCTATTGTTCCCATTACTAACAGGCTGTTGGTGGCAGATAAGTCATCTCATGATTGTCGAGGCAAGGAGTAGTCGTACATAGAACACGGCTTCAAGATATTGGTGATTCTTTACCCCATGAGTCTCTGGCGTCCCTCCTGCACGCGATCATTTCTAATCCGCCATCCTGTTAGGTATTCTGATACGTCTATCGGAAAATAGGTTCTGATTGCCCTGATTTTCATCGTAGTATTTGATCCGACAGGGCGACATTCTGGAGAATCAATGACTAGGCTGTTGAGTAAATATCACTGTATGACTATAGTAGATGACTCAAATGTTTAATTATAGCGCTATGCCATATTTCAACTAGGAAGATATCCCATACATTGCCAATTACATATACTCGTACCTTGCATGGCTATTGTATCTGATTTTCGAGTTCATGGATTTGTTGTCATAAAAACATTAGTAGGACATCGCCATCTTCAATCAACAGATTTCAGCATTGGCAAATGGTAATATCGTTCGGCATAAGGGTACAGGCAATCGTCTTGTGAATTGAAAAGTATTGAATATCAGGTCCTTGCATCCCCCAAGTTTGCATCAGAATGGAATTGATGACCGTAACTGCTATCTAGGAATTATATTCATTCTCCGTACAGCCGAATACGAGATAGGCTATGAAGAGTAATATGTAATATTTATGATTCCATGATTCTATGATTCTATCTCTCTAAGCATTCATCAACATGGTCAAATGATAGTTATTCCAGTATAGCAGCCGTTGTCCCGAAACATCACAGTCTTCTTCCCATCCTTCACTCGATATACACTTCCTCCCAAATCCGTCACATACACTTGCTTTTTCCCGTCCAGTTTAATCCCGATAGGCTCGTGGAATTGCCTAGCTAATATTTTCTTTTCACTTTGAAGCTTCTCTTTATCGGCCTTCCCACGAACCTCCACCCGATTCAACGAGCACCCAGTTGGATGTTCGCCACGATCAGTCCAGTACAGCAACTGATTCTCCGCGTCCAGCTCCAGGTCGATGGGTTCAGGTAAACCTTCCAACAGGAGCTCAATGTCCTGTCGATTATCCGCCGTCTGGCCCGCTGGGATGTCAATCCCGGCTCGGAAAATCCGGCCCTGGCCACTTTTGCTGGGCCCCTTCTGCGTCCAGTAGATGTACCCTCGATCCACGTCCAAGGTGATACCGACACACCATCGCGTCATATCTTTTCTTTCCTCAGGCTTATCGAGAGAACCAGTACGAACCAGAACCTCGTGATCGGTTCCGTCAAAATTGACTCGGTGCACGCCCATGCCCTCACGATCACAGAAATAGATCTTGTTGTTGATATCATCAACGACCAGTTGCTTCGGCGTGTGCACCGTACCAGAGGGCAGGAGAGTCCGGACATCCGTCCCGTCAAGGTTTGCCGAGTGCACAGAGCCATCATATGTGGCTGTCGAGCAACCCATATTTGTCCAGAAGATGCGAGACGCGGTCTGCGAGACGTCAATTCCATCCGGCAAGGACTGTCCTTCAATGACAGTGGTTCTCTTTCCCGTGCCCGGGTGGTACTTGAGAATTCGACCGGCAGTTGGAACGAGCGAGATATCAGGGTTGTTCGATCCCAGGCCGACGTCGAGTAAATACAAAGTCTCCTCATCCTCGGCAACACCAGTTTCCACGGCCGTGGGAGGATACAATCCGCCCTTGTCACTCTTGAGTCCCAGTTTCCCAGGGGAAATATATTTATCGCGCAGCCAGTCGACGGTCATGCGGCTGTCTAATCCTCTCTCTTGGATATAGTTATCCTCAATGAACGCCACTGTATCCAGGCCAATCTGATCCATCAGTCGGCACGGAGGCAAACTAGACGGAAGCAGGAACATGTTCTTCCATAGGAGATCGATTTCTTCAGGGGAGCTGACTTCCTCTGCAAGAATCACCATGATCTCCCGCTTAATGGCAGCCCAGAGACGGTTGAAGATGAACCTAGTCTCAATCAGCCGACACTCCACAAACAGACACTACGTCCTATGTCAAGAGGAGAAGACAAGAACTTACCCAGTTGACTCCCGTCTCGCCGTCACAGGGACCATGCCGCACTCTTTCAATACAATCGTCAACAACGTGAACAGCTTCTCGCTCGTTTCTCCATCCGTCATCAATTCCACTGTCCGGATCGTAGGCGGCATCGTAAAATGCATATTCAGCACCCTTTCCCTTCTCTCGGGGTTCACCTCGTCCAGCATAAGCCTCGATTTAAAAGAGCTGCTGTTGGACGCAATGATGCAGTCCGCCGGCGCATTGCGGTCGACTTCTGCAAACGTGCTGATCTTCAAAGGCAGTTTCTCTGGTACGGCTTCCACAACGAGCCAGGCGTCTGATACGGCGGCGGGGATCTCGGAGAAGGTCTTGTATGTACCAGCGGTGCGTTGCGAAGGGGTAAGAGCTGTGAAGTCTTGGAGGTGGCTATCGATGTAGCTGGCTGCGTCCGAGAGGGCTTCGCGGGAGGGATCGCGGATATGCACATTGTATCCGCCTGCGAGGAAGACGGAGGCAATGCGGCGGCCCAGGACCCCAGCTCCAAGAACCACAATGGGACGTGGTGATGGTTGGGGCATTCTGTATATGCTTTGATGTAGATAATATGATAATATAGAATATAGATCAATATCTGAGGATATGCTGAGTTATATTAGCTCATATACAAAGCCCCTTCTCTACCATACCCAGCCCTTATATACTTTACCCACTATGCACAACAGAGCATCTAGATCCCGTATATGGATATATATGCCGTGCATGCCGATATCCGATACCCATTGTTGAGCCGGCGCAGGTCTCTCGGACACCCTCGGACTCGGTATGGAGATACTTCGGAATGGTGACGGAGCGGATACTTAACCCTATGGACCGAACTCCGGAACCATTCCATGCACTCTGTATCGGCTCTGGGTGCTATTATTTTCGGGGAACGGTAAGTGGGTGCCGTAAGTGTTTTGAGATTTTACGGTAGCTGTGGGTAAGGAGCGACGTGTGTTGCTGTAGTGCCGGTTAACCGTGTCTGGGTGCTTGGTGCTTGGTGTTTGGTGTATACTAAGTACTGTTGTGGTTTTTGTGTTGGGTATACCGTGGATTTAGTAGTACTCAATGGGGGTTTGTTTTTCTCTATTCTCTGGTGTCATGGTTTAGTGTGCCAGGTTGACTAGTTTAGTTGGGATGAAATGATGGATTATCTGCAGACTGCATGTAACTGTGTGCTGATGCGAAAATTTCTAGTTCTGATATGGTGGCATATTTTGCATTCCACTAAGATTCAACAAAGATTGCCTAATAGTGTCTATATCCAGTATACAGTACTTGTTGGGTTTAGTTCCCTGGCACTGACTGACTGAGGAAGGTACTCTGGCAATAGATGAACCATAAAACCAACCCAAAATAAATTCTCTATCTACACTCTAGAACAAAAACACCTGATCCCCAGCCTTAGAAACAGCCCCAGGCATCGTCCACCCCATACCCTGCAAGGTCTTCTTCATCGCCACCAACATCGGCGGCGGGCCACACAACAACACTCTATTATCCAGCGCAGCAGGCGCCAAATGCTTCGCAATAACATCTCCGTTCACAAACCCCCGGTAACCCTGCCACGTCTCCCCGGGCTGGCTCAGCACATACTGTACCTGGAACTTCTCAGGATGACGTCTCGCGAAGTCATCCAGCTCCGCGCGCAACAGAATGTCCTCTTCCGTGTTATTCGCGTACAACAATGACACCTGCGTCTTGTCGGCGTCGTCTTCGCAGATGGCCCGGATGAGCTGATACATGGGTGTAATGCCCGTTCCACCTGCGATCATCCCGATATGCTTCGCGTATTGTCGGGAATATTGCATTGCGCCCTTGGGCCCGCGGATCTCGATCGACTCGCCTACGTTCATCTGCGCCAGGTGCTGGGTCATCGCTCCGTTGGGGTATACCTTGATGAGGAGCTCGATGCGGCCCACGTCGCTGTTGTTCGATACAGGGGTGTACGATCTCGAGACGCTTTGTCCGTTGATTGTCGCTCGTAGGGCGATATGCTGGCCCGTCGGCAGGCCGAGGATGTCGTCCGCATTTGGCAATGCAAAGATGAATCGATATACATGTGGCGCGACTTCCGTTTTGCGGGTCAGGATGAATGAGCGCCATTTGCGCGGATCCAAGACACTCGGTTTCTTGAGTGGCAGGTTGGTCCGGGGCAGCTTGATCATACGTGCTGTTTTGGCTGGTCGACGCGGTGCGTAGTGAGTGAATTCTTGTTGCACGTCTAGCTTGGTTGAGATCCACGTGCCCAGGCCTAGGGTTAGGGAGAACTGCACTGCGCTGGCGATGCCCACGCCGGCCCAGAAGTGGGTTCCGTCGTGGCCTGGGCCCTGGTGGGGAGAGACGGATTTGGTAAGGGAACGCAGAGCGTAGGCTATCTCGGTGGTGGTTATGCCGCGGTGGTAGGCTGTTATGGCGGCTTTGCCTGCTAGACCGGCCATGGCGCATTTTATGATTGTTTGGATTATGGATGACCAGGAGGTGGCCTTTTTGACGTTGACGGCTGCGGATTGCGAGACTTGCTCGTAGGCTGGACGGTAGATCTCGACGGATTCGGTTTGTTCCTGGGCTCGTGAGTATAGGGATCAATTATGGATAGAATGAGTCTTTACCTCTGTCGGTAAGTCGCCTACATAGAAAGGCTCCAACTGTTCCCGGGCTTCGTCGGAGTGCCCGACTTCCTCGAAAGCCTCTGTAGCGTCGGTGCCAGCGACCTCAACGAGAATGGCGCTCCCACCGGGGTGGTCTTCGAGGTATTTGGTCACATCGTAGACTATGAGCAGTCAATATCATTCCGCCTACATGATAGAAGAGACGCACCCCTGTTGTGGAGGACAATCCAGACGTCGTCTGGTTTGCAGTGCTTTTGGACCTGTTCAAGGGTGAAGGACGGCATTTTGATAATGTATGCAGCTTAACCTCTACAAGTAGACATGGACAACTTAGTCATTTATATCTTCGACTGTCTTCTGCGACTCTTGTGCCGTTCTATCCAGACCATGATCCTCGGGCGACTTTCGTACGAGCTTCGGACGAAGTCTCCGACGCAGCCGAAGATCAACATAGGACGGTTATTCGGATGGCATCTTCACATTTGAACCCATTAACGTATATATTAATGTCATTTCCAGGTGAGTCTTCGATTAAGTCAGGTAGTTCGAGCATTGATATTCACCATGCAGTGTCAGTTCTATCTCGTGGGCGACAACATCGCCACTGCGCAGTCCATCGAAGTAGACTCGCGCTGGAAGTTTGAAGACCTCCAGCGTGCTGTCGGGGGAGTTTTCCATGTCACTCTGCCAACAGGTAAGCTTTTCACCGACACTTCATCCTTACCAGAAGCCCTAACGTTGCAGGCATCTCCTTCCACACCTCCGAAAACGAAACGTTGCCGTCCGTCGCCGACATTATCTCTGCTGGATCATCTCCCATCGGCCTCCGAATTGATGGCAACGCCGTACAAACCCCCCAAGGACCGCCAGGGCTGCCTCTGGTTGGCAGCTTCTACGAGATATTCCCCGACCATCTGGGGAATCACTATCGCCTCTTTCGCAAATACGGCCCAGTGATTAAAACCACCAACATGGGCAAAACTACCTACCTCACGGACGATCCACAGGTCGCCTCCGTCTGTTTCGCAGAATCAGCCTACATGACCAAGAAGATCAACGAGAATCACCCCCTCTGGGGCGTCAAAGACAACACCGCCATCTTCATCGGCGACACCGAGACTGAAAACTGGCGCCTCGCCCACAAATACCTCCCACCCGCCATGGGCCCCAAGGCCGTACGACACTATACAGGCCTGATGCAAAACTGCGCAAGAAAGTCTCTACCCGTGTTCGACGAGCTGGATGCCCGCGACGAGTCCTGGAATGTCTACCAGTACATGGTCAAGCTGGCCTCGCAGACCATCGGGTCCTTCTCCCTCGGCAAAGACTTCGGCCACTTCGACTCAGTCGACAGCCCCCTCCACCCGATCGTCACGAACATCGCCAGCCTCCTCTCGCTCAATAAGAAGATCACCGCCCGCGGTGAATGGTACCGCCACCTTCCCTTCGGCGACCCGGCCCGTCTCCGTCAGGTCCAGCACACCATTTACACATTGCTGCAGGAAGCCATCGACGAAGTCGCCGGCTCCGGCATCGCCGACGCTCCCATGAACGAAGCCGCGCTTAGCGCCTCCTGCGTCGTCGACTACCTCCTGCACGCGGTCGACGACAAAGGCGAGCACTTCCCACAGAGCCTCATCCTCGCCAACATGCTCATCGTCACGGGCGCCGGCTTCACCACCACCTCCGCGCTCCTCTCCTGGCTCCTCTACTGTCTGGTCACCTACGAAGGCACGCAGGATCGCCTCTACGCCGAGCTCGTAGAGCACGGCATCGTCGGCCCCAATGGCGAACGCAACCAGACAACCTGGACCCCCGATCTCGCGCACAGCCTGCCCTACCTCGACAAGTTCGTCAAGGAGACGCAGCGCCTCCACAACGCCAGTTTCCAGCCGGGAAGAACCACCAAGACTGATGTCGTGCTTCCGGGCGGGTATCGTCTCCCGCCTGATAGCGTTATTGTCCCTGCGTTGTATGCTATCCATACGAATCCGAAGACCTGGCGGGATCCGTTCCGGTTTGATCCTGATCGGTGGGATACGGAGGAGGTGAAGGGAAGGCATCGGTGTGCGTATGTTCCGTTTGCGACGGGGCCGAGGGGGTGTATCGGGTTTAATTTTGCGCTGTTGGAGGTTAAGATTTTGTTGGCAGAGTTGGTGAGTCGATATGAGTTTGTGAGGGACGGACTGGAGGCGATTGATTATGATCCCGAGTTTCAGTTGATTCGGCCGTTGAACTTTTATGTTAGGGCTAAGCGGAGGGTATAGATGGCTATGAATCATTGTTAGATTTGATAGAGTGTACACTAGATATAGAATAGACGTTTATGATTAGGGCTGGGCTGTACACTGTTCCTCTATTATAAAATAAAGGTTGAGTTAGAGCGCATATCTCTTACGGTAAAGAGTTATATCTCTCACCTAGCTGTATATCACACCGCGACCTCGCCATAAATCTCTCGTAATGCTTTCAGGGCCCGAGAATACGGCCCAAAATACCGAACATTCGTGTCAGCATCGCACCACTCAGAATCCTTCTCCTCTTTCTCTAACACTGCGATCAGGCGCTGCACAAGCACGTCTGGGTTCCGCTGGTCCTCCGTGGATGGTGTCTTGAGCCCCTTGAGTGTAATTGCACAGCTAACCGCGTTATGCACAAACGCCCACGACCGACAAACGCTCGCCGAGAACCGATGAAGATCAAGAAAGCTCTCGATCGCGTGCATCGCCTGATTCACACAGTCCATTGCAGCACCATGGTAAAGGGAAGAAGAAGGCTCCACCCCACTCATATACACGCGGCTCAGTCTGCAAATACCATATCCTAAATGGACTCCAAGGGCTAATCGTTCTAGATGCGCTTGTACCGACGTGCACCGGGCCTTGTCTGTGAGAAACGGGGCGGCGTCGTCCCACACTTCTTCTAAC